TTGCTACTCTGTCATGCTGTTGTTTGTAGTCAAGACTGTCTGTGCAGTCTTCTTGCAGCAGCTGACTAGGTCATCCACTGTTTCTTCAGCTTCTTTGCAGAGGCGGCATTTGCTGTCTGTCGCTGTCTTTTCAATTCTGTCTTTGTGTGCATTTGTTCTTAAGGCTTGGTCTTGTGTAGCCAGAATTAGCCCCTCTGTCTCTTTGTTCAACTTTCCTGCTCTTGGCCATTGCCAGGTCTTGCTGTTATCTGCTTTGCCTGATAGTTTTTTTGTGTACTGACCAGGTAATACTTTGCCTTGCCATGTCTTTTTTCTGTTCTTCATTTGGTCTTTCTTATAGGCCAGTTTTACATACATACATTATTATTATTATTTAAAATATGCCAAATTGGTTTGAAGGGGGACATTTTATGGGGCCCCCTAAAATGGGGAGGGGGCTCAAGAGAGTCTGGTCCAAACTACTGCACATCTAGCTATAAATGTATCCGGGGTCGATATTAAAAACAGTAACTAGATAATTACATGTATAACTTAATATAATATAAAAGTATGTTAACTGTAGATACAACTCTGTGTGTGCGCGCGCATTATATGTGCATGGGTATCATTTTATATAGATGTGTGTGTGTGTATAATATATATACACACACGCACATGGGGTGTATCAAAAGTCAGGCCCTGTAGGCCAATCACAGTACAGTATGCTTTATTAATATTTTCCCCCCAGAGGAAATGTTGTGCTTTATTGTTATTGTATTATATTAGTTTGGTCTGCCCACCTTGTTTTATGTTTTTTAAACTGTTTTAACTGCTTATGCGTGTTTTTAAGTCCCCCAGAGTCTATTGAAGTGAGCGGCCATAACAAATTTAATGAATAATCATAATAAAAATGTTTCTGTGCTTAGGAATGTTCAAAGCTCATGGGTCAAATGAGTAAGGAAGTATTTAGAAGAAAATGAGAACGAATTTGAACATTTAATATAATTTAAATAATAAATTGTCTTTGGGGCCTGACTTTTGGTTCACCCTATGTATGTATGTGTGCATGTGGTACCAAGCTTAGCAGTAGTACTTATGGGTAAGATCTGGGGGTCTTGGTAGACCACAGATTAAGGATGAGCCAGCACTTTGCTGCAGCTGCCAATAAAGCCAATGCAATTTTGAGCTGCATCAATAGAGGTATAGTGTCAAGATCATGGGAAGTGATAGTATTGCTCTGTGCTGCACTGTTCAGACCATACCTGGAATACTGCATCCAGTTTTGGTCATCACAATGCAAAAAGAATGCTGAGGAACTGGAAAGGGGGTGCAGAAGAACAACAAAGATGATAAGGGGTTTGGAGGCTAAATCCTACAGAGAGCAGTTAAAGGAACTTGATATGCTTAGCTTAAGAAGAGAAGGTTAAAGGGAGACATGATAGCAGTCTTTCAATACAACCACAATTGGGACCAGCAACTTGGTCGTTAAGTGAAGCAGTCACTAAGCAAAAGTATGTGCTTATGATCTTCAGCTTTCCTTTGTTTTACAGATCTGCATAAATGAAAGGATTGGTTGTAAAGTTACTTTTTCATTACTGTCATAACTGTGAACAGTCACTAAACAAGGGAGTCACTAAATGAGGACTACTTATACATGAAGGAATGTCACAGAGAAGAGGGTAGGAATTTATTCTTTGAGGGTAGGACAAGAACCAATGAGTAAAAACTTTACAGAGGGAGATCCAAACTCAAAATAGGGAGGAATTTCCTGACTGTGAGAGCTGTTAAGCAGCAGAACACCCTGCCTCTTGAAGTTGTGGGTGTTTCATCACTGGAGGTTTTCAAGAAAAGAGTGAACAGCCATTTGTCCAGAATGGTATGAAGAATCCTGCACTAGGCAGGGGGTTACAACAGAAGACCTCCAAAGCCCCTTCCAACCCTGTGATTCTATGCATAAATATATATAAATACATGTGTATATATGTAAAATAGTTACATTATCACTCTTGTATGTCAGTCTATGAATTGGGGTGGATTACATAACTGGCAAATAAGTAAATAAATAGCTATACACATACCCCCCCATCCGTAGATACTGATCGACATACAGATCTATCTATTTACTAGAGGTCTGTAGACAGAGCATATCCATAGCTTATGGGTTTGTATTTTTTCTTTTTATGGAATGTTGCTATGAACCACCCAGGATTAGGGTATATAAGAGAAATGACCATATATGTTTTATAAATAAATCGCTATCTATATATAGTAGCGTGGGCTAGTGGGGAAGGTGCTGGACCACAAGTAGGGAGATGCAGATTCTGGTCCCCCTTCAGCTACAGAAGCTCCCTAACCCCAATCCCTCTCTCTACCCAGCCTACCTCATAAAGTTATTGGATATGGACTGGAGAGACCCAAGTTCTAGTTTCCTCCTCAGCTTTGGAAATTCACCTGGGGACTCAAATCCTGAACCAATATGGGATAGTGGGGAATGGTCTGGATTTAGTTCTGTCCAGTTTTTAGTCATCAAAATGTCTTGGGGGGCTTTGGGCCAGTCCCCTCCCTCTCAGCCCAAGAGCCAGGGTGGGGCAGTGGTGAAGGTGCTGGAGTGAGTGGGAAGACCCAGGTTCTAGTCTACCCTCAGCTACAGAAGCTCCTTGGGTACACTGCCACAGCCCCAGAGCCAGCAAATGTAGTAGTGAATGTGTTGTACTAGGAATGGGTACATTGAAGCTCTATTTTTTACCTTTATTTTTTATTGATTTTATCATTTATTTGATTGTTGTGAGCTACCCAGAGTCATCGAGAGTCAGGAGGCATACAAATTTAATAAAGTAGTAGTAGTAGTAGTAGTAGTAGTAAAGGGTTAGTAAAGGTCAGTCTTCCTCCAATCGACCCCAGCTCCTGCTGGCCTATATGCATACCTAGCTGGGCATAAGAAATAGGATCATTATTGCTTATTTGCTACTTGCTGCCATGTAGTCCCAGGAATTGAATCTGCTATATGAAACGGCCATAATAATATATGTTATATAACTGCATGAAAACAACATTATGCAGCACTCAGAAAAAAAAGTACATAGCCGTAAACAAAAGAAATAAAATTAAGAGGCAAGGAAAGGAAACCTAAATATATATAGGGCTGTGTGCACTTCGAAAGCACACACCATGGGCCATCTCTTGGCTGTCTGTTGAAGCAGATTGGCTTTTTTTCTGGCATCTACATGAATCTGAAGCAAGGTGCCTCTGTGGACGGAGTTGACTCCTAATGTGAGTTCTAAAGCAGATGCAAAGAATCTTGTGTCACTTTCTGCATTTTTATGGCATTTTATAAATTGTAATGTGTGGTACATTTATTAATTTCTAAGGTGACCAAAAAATATCAGCGAATAAACTCAGTGGGTTTTGCTTTTCAGCAGACAAGTGTAGGAATGCTTTGTTATCTTTAGTCATTTGGTATTTGTAACCACAAGGTGATGCTGTCATACCACACTTCAGTTTTCATTTCCACTTCATTTTTTTATCAGGCGGGTTTGAAGAAGCAGAAATAAAATGATGAATAAAAAGGATTTTTAGATATGTCAAAACCCTAACAAAATGATGATTAATTTTATGAAAGCTTCATATTTTTTTCCTTTATAAGCAATTGTTTATTCATACTCTGCCCTACTCTTCTACAATTTTATGTCAATATATGAAAAAGTACAGTTACAAAAAACAGGTTGAAACACTTCTAACAATAAGATGAGCAGTTAAAAAGCAGGTGTCCAGTAGCAGCAGCAAAAAACAAAACCCTATTAAAAGCTTCAGTTACTAGAATATTCTCCTTAGGTATTCCCTAAACAGGGATACCTTTTTAGTTGGCCATTTTAGCTTAACCAGTAACAGGAGAAGATGCCAATATCAAACAATATTAGTTAACAAGCTGTGTCTCTTTTTAATAATCATATTAATATGCATACTGTGTTTTGATTTTTCAGAGATTGGCATTTCTAAAGAGGATGCGCTAGAAATTTTAAAGGTGATCAAACAGGAACGGCACAGTGATGGAGCAAAGCCTTCTGAGGAACCAGAAACCTTTAGGAAATGTACAGCTCTGGAACTTTTGGAAAAAGAGCAGACTCAAGGTTTCATCATCACCTTTTGCTCTGCACTGGATGACATCCTCGGTGGGGGTGTGCAGCTAACCAAAATTACAGAGATCTGCGGAGTGCCAGGTGTCGGGAAGACGCAACTGTGGTAAAACACACACACTACCAAAGCTCAAATTTCTGTATCTTCCCTTCACTTACTATTCTTTTTGAAAAATCTTGGTGTCTTTATTAGCTGTTCAAATTGGTACCATCACATCTTGATGAACTGAAATCACAACTCGGTGTTTGGTCTCATTTCCCAGTGTTTGGCATCCAGAAGGCCATCCCCAATACTTCAGGTTAAATAGATCAGGTGGCTGGGGATGGGGAAAGGACTTCCTCTCTCTGAGAAGATGGAGGGCTACTGCCAGCCAGAGCAGATAACTGGGAAAGAGTCAAAACTTGCCTAGACAGCAAAGATCTGACCTTAAAAGACAGCAGCTGCTTACACTCATTGCTTACTGGCATTTCTGTCAGGGAGCTACTGCAGACTGAAGAATCTCTGGATCAGCTTTTGATCCTGAACTTACTGGCTGGCTTTCAAATTCATTTCAGTGGAAAATGTTAGTAAATTCATTTCAGCCACTTTAATGTGGGTTGTAATACTGGCATCTCTTAACAAGATGTAAGAATTCCTATTACTGACATAATGGCTGGATTTCCACACTTGGTTGAACCTGTGGTTTGTTTGGCTTTGGCTTAGTTTAGCATAATCTGTGAACCAAGCCATCATATTTAAAGTACTTGAACTGAATACATAGAGCCTTTTGCCACCAGGTTAGTTGAATACTTAGCAGACGACAGCAAGAGGTCCGCTTCCAGGCAGAGGTTTTCCTTCCTATTCATAGAATCAAATATGGTATAATTATGATCAGCTGGGGTCCTTTTCCATGCTGAGAGAACGAAGATTAGGAGTTTTGGAGCTCTGCCGTCTCACCATTTCTGCA